GGCTTCGGATTTGATGTCTTCTTTAGACAATCCGATGCTTTGATCTTTGCTTTGGCTTTGCCTCTTTTGGAGGACTTTGGTCTCCGTGTGGACGATGATATTTGATGTCTTCTTTGGACGATCTGTAGCTTTGATATTTGGTTTGGCTTTGTTGCCCTTTGGAGAGCTTTGGTCTCCGTGTAGACGACTTGATCGTCGGCTTTGGATTTGATGTCTTCTTTGGACGATCTGCGACTTTGATCTTTGATTTGTCTTTTTCGCCTTTTGGAGAGCTTCGGTCTTCGTGTGGGCTATTTGATCATCGGCTTTGGATTTGATGTTTTCTTTAGACGATCCGCAACTTTGATATTTGGTTTGGCTTTGTTGCCTTTTGGAGAGCTTTGATCTCCGTGTGGGCGACTTGATCGTCGGCTTTGGATTTGATATCTTCTTTGGACGATTTGCGGCTTTGATATTTGGTTTGGCTTTACCGCCTTTCAGAGGGTTTTGGTCTCCGTGGAGGCAATTTGATCGTCGGATTTGGATTTGATGTCTTCTTTGGACGATCCGCAGCTTTGATTTTGGGTTTGGCTTTGCCGCCTTTGGAGGGCTTTGGTCTCCATGCGGACGATTTGATCCTTAGCTTTGGATTTAATGTCTTCTTTGGATGATCCGCGGCTTTGATATTTGGTTTGGCTTTGCCAACTTTTGAAGAGATTCAGTCTCCGTGCAGGCAATTCGATCGTCATCTTTGGATTTGGTGTCTTCTTTGGACGATCCAAGGCTTTGATTTTTTATTTGGCTTTGTCGCCTTTTGGAGAGCTTTGGTCTCCGTGCGGGCGATTCGATCGTCGGTTTTGGACTTGATGTCTTCTTTGGACGGTCCGAGACTTTGATATTTAATTTGGCTTTGCCGCTTTTGGAGGACTTTGATCTCCGTGTGAGCGATTCGATCGTCGGATTTGGATTTGGTGTCTTCTTTGGACGATCCGCGACTTTGACCTTTGGTTTGCCTTTTCCGCCTTTTGGAGAGCTTCGGTCTCCGTGTGGGTGATTTGATCGTCGGCTTTGGATTTGATGTTTTCTTTGGACGATCCGCAACTTTGATTTTTGCTTTGTCTTTGCCGCTTTTGGAGGGTTTTGGTCTCCGTGTGGGCAATTTGATCTTAAGCTTTGGATTTAATGTCTTCTTTAGACAATCCGCGGCTTTAATCTTTGAGAATGTGGATTTAGTGCTCCATAATGCTTTTAGTGGCATGTCCTTTTGACTTTTGGATCGAAGAGGGTTGAGTTGATGCTTTGGTAAAGAACGCGATGAGCACATCGAAGCTTTGGATGAACTTTGGATGCTCTTCTTTGGCTTTGATGGCTTTTTCAACGGCTTTTGGAGCTTTGATCCTTGAAGATGTGGATTTGGTGCTCTATAATACTTTTGGCGGCGTGTCCCTTTGACTTTTGGGTCGAAGAGTGTTTAGTTGATGCTTTGTTGAAGAACGCGATGAACATTTTGAAGTTTTGAGAGGAACTTTAGAGACCTTTCCTTGACTTTGACAAATTCCTCAACGGTTTTGGGAGCTTTGATCTTTCCTCCGACTTGGATATACGACGAAGAACATTAACTCAATCGATTCGTTAACCAATATTGGATCATTTGTCCAAATCAGTGACTTTCGATGAAAAACGCTTCAAATGACACGAAGAACAATACATAGAGAGTCTAAAGATTTACCTATTTGCTTGAATCCTTGATGTAACTTTGGTGTGTCAAATGAACTGAACATGGCTCTTATTTATAGGGGAGGGGTGACCTTGGCTTCCTTTTTTGATGGTGCTACGTGGCGCGTCTTGATTGACCAATAAGAAGATTTTATAATATTTCCTTTTTCATCAGATGTCGTTTCCATTTTTTAAGGATTTGATTGCATCCCTTCATTTCTCGCCAAGATCTTTATATCATTGCCGAAGATATTAATTTATATACTTCCTCTATTGACAAGATTAATTTATTTTGCTGCTAAATTTATTATGGCTCTATTTATGCACGTAATATTTGTACGATATCTTCCATTTTAAGCAGATTTTTGCATTAATAGTTGATATTTATTGTAAAAAATTAACATATGTGCATAATTAAATATCATATATTTATTTTATTAAAATTTTATTTTCTTAAAAAATACATGATATTTAATTTAATTTTTAATGCCTACACATACTTAACAAATATAAATTAATTTAATTAACTTAATAACATATAACATAATACATCACGTATTACCCACTTAAAATCCCTTTATTTATATATCTCTCATCAATAAACAAATATTTTTATCTACATCTAAAACTCTAATTTCTTATAAAATTAGTTTTATCTTAATTATAATTAATAAAATATATTTTTTATTCATTTGTATTATTTAAAATTTTATTCTCTACAAAATGATATCCATATTGCATATATTTTTATTAAGACATACTCCATCAATCCCTTATCTATGCATCATTTTCTTTTTACACGGAGTTTTAAAAATATTAGTATTATATTGGGGTGTTGTATGAATAAAGTAGAAAAGACTAAAATAACTTTATTAATATTGTTTGATATAAATATATGATATTTGTGTAATATACTGTAAGTTGTAAGAGTATTTTTTATATCAATAAAAAGTACATTTACTAAAAAAAATTAAATACTTTGTTATGGGACGAACAAAAATTGAAAAATAAATAGATTATTAAAGGACGAAATAAGTAATATTTTTTACAATATTTAAACACATATTCTAAATTTATTTTAATTATATATATTAAAACTACCAATTATATATTATTCATATAAAAATATAATAAAATAATACCATAATTTAAAATTATTAACTAATTAAATACTTTACCTTCCTTAAATACTGTGTCCCAATATTTTGAATCATGAAAAGAGAACACAATTACCACCTCTGTACCACCTAGCCATCCATACTGGATGTGTATTTTTACTTTTTGGATTTTTGGTTTAGAAGTTTGATTGTTATTTAAAATAATAATAATAATGTATAATAGAAAAATCAAATCAAACTAAGAAATAACAAAAACTGTAATATTTTAGTTTTTTTGGTATTAATAGATTGAAAGGAAAAAAAATATTTTAGAAATTACAAGTAAACATTGGGTAAATTAGTACTTCGTTCGTCCCAAACACTGTGCAATATTTGTGTTTGCCACGAGAATTTAGGCGGGGAGTATTAAGTATGATAATTTGAGATAATTTGGATATTAACTTACGTGATTGGAGAGAGAAATGATTATTTTTTTTTTATTTGAGTGATATGATGGGATAAAGTGAAGTGTATATTAATATATATATAAATATTATTAATTATTTCTAAATTTGAAAATGTTGCAGTGAATTTGAAACAAACAAAAAAGGAAATATTGTAGGTGTTTGGGACGGAGGGAGTATAATTTTCCCTCTTATTTTAGTAAAAATGGGCCAAACATTATGTGTTTTATTTATTACATGAAACTCCTTTCTATTAAATTAAAGTATACACAATACATTATTTTCATCGAAAATTGATATTTGATTATAAATATGGATCTAATTTATACACATAAAAGAGATAAATATATTAAATAGTCTTTTGAATAAAACAAATAAATAAATACTTAATTAACTCTTCGTTTTATAATTTTTTGAGGTAAACTCTTATTTGATATATATATTTTTTTAAATTATAAAACGAATGATTGATTAATTATTTATTTATTTCATTCTTTATTAAAAAAGACTATCTAATATATTTACCCATTTTATTTGTATAAAACTAATATAATTAGATCCGTAGTTACAATTAAATATCATCTTTGGATGAAGAGCGTGTATTGTGTATATTTTAATTTAATACGAAAGGGTTTCACGAAATAAATAAAACACGAGGTGTTTGATATATTTTTACTAAAAACACAATGGATATTATATAATTTACTCGTAAACAAATGTTTTACATTAGATTCCCGATTCAATTCTAAATCATCGGTTTGACACTTTACAAACAATTTAGTAAATAATTAATAAATATATTAGTGAAAATAGCTTGTTCTTCTTAATTTTTTCTTCGCACGTTTGTCAAAAAATATTACTTCATATTACACACATTCGTTATTTTTATATTCAATATACGATTTCCTATACCTCACATAAAAAAATATTTATTCAACTCATTTTCACAAAACAAACACACTATTAATACAAATAATTATAAATTAATATTAAGATAACTAAATAGTTTATTTAAAATAAAAATATATAAATTATAAATTTTAAAATATAATTAAAGTGTATAATTATATATATATTTTAAAAATAAATTATGCGGGATAAACAAAAATAAAAACAAATTATATTATCTCATAGATAACAACCTATTATTATTACTCTCTCCATCTTATTTAATTTGTTTATTTTTTTATTTTATTTCGTCCCATATAATTTGTATTTTATTTTTTGAAAATATAATTATACATTTTAATTATATTTTAAAATTCATAATTCATAATATTTTTTATTTTAAGTAAACTATTTAGTTATTTAATTTTAATTTATAATTATTTTTATTAATATATTTTTTAATTATTTATTAATTATCTATCCCTTACAACTCGGTACCTAAACTAAATTAATCAATTTAAGGGGGCGGAGGCAGTATTATTTAGATACGCAAAAATAAAAAGAAATGTAATTGTCACATTTTTTTAGCTTTTTAATTTGGAGGGATTATTATTTAGATATGCAAAAATAAAGACAAATGTAATTGTCACATTTTTTAGCTTTTAAATTTGGAGAGTGGAGACAGGAAAAAGAATAATAAGATAAAAAAAAACATGGGGAAGAATATCTGAAGCGTGTCAGTATATGCTGTGTCTTTTCTTTCCTAATACCAACACACAAATTTTCAGGGTGTTTTTTGTATATCCATAAATTAATAGTCGATGAATTATTATTACTACCTATTATTATTATTATTATTATTAATTTCCCTCTTTTTGACTGTTGAGGAAAACAATTCATCAATCGTCAGAGGTTTGCCATTGCTGACGCTTGCACTCCCTCTTGCTCGCGCTTCTTCGCTTAGGGTTTGGGTTTCTGGGTGTTCTTGCTGCTGCTTTTCTTGTGGGGTTTTGTACTCTCACTTTTCTTTTTTAAAATCTTTAAAATTTGCTTTTGATTTTTCTGTTCCATCTTGGTTTTCGATGAAAAGGCATTGAATTGGGAAACAGGACGAACCCTTCCTCGAAGGAAAAAAAAAATAAAAATTTCAAGAAGTTTCTCTAAGTTCAGCGTTTATCGTTTTGTGCGTGTGATTGAAATTCCGAGATCGGGGCAAAAAATGTGAGGTTGAGTGTGCTGAGCTTGAAGAGGTGAAGATCCTAATGATGTTGATTTAGCTATCGGGAGAAGGGACGGTGAAAAGAGGAAGTGATTTGGATTTGCAAAAATGCAATTTCCGAACTTGGATGACTCTCCCATGTTCAGAAAACAGGTTGATTCTGAAGTTTTGATTTTCTTTTTAAAATACCCTTTTGATCTGAATTTCTGATTTGATTGAATCTTTCGGTCTGTTTAGCACATTCATGGTGATTATTTGCTCTGGTTTTTGTTGGTATTTCTGGAAGAGATGCTCAATTTAATGACTACTGTTGAATTTTGGATGACAGAATTTTCTTTACTTATTGTTGACTTAGGTTTGAAATTTTGTCCTATGGTGGTTCTTTTATTCTCAGGTTATAAATTATTGAGGATAGATGTTGACTTATTATTTGGTAGTACTCTAATCTGACTAACGAATTGATTTGAATCTTCTCAAATATAAAATTAATTATGTCCAATTGTTGGTTAATTTAAGTTCTCTATTATAGCTAACATAATCTTGAAAAATAAAATAAAATAAAATTTGTGGAACATAAGTTGCAGGTACATGCTTCTGAAGAAAGAATTCGGGCAACCATGTTTTGGAATTTTGAATTTGCTCATCAGTTAATCTTTTTCTGTCCATTATTTTATTTTCTGGGTTTTGCAATTCACCATTGATATTTCTGTTAAGTTTACAAAACTGTAACGAAATTACGTAGCATTCTTTTGTGATATTGACTCCATGTTGTTTATTGTGCCATTGATCTTTGATGGCCAGTTGTATTCTGAAAACCAAAATGTTGTTTTGGATGCAGATTCAGACCTTGGAGGAAGGTTCTGAATCCTTGGGGGAGAGATGTCTGAAGTTCTACAAGGGATGCCGGAAATACACGTGAGGACATAGTTGCTTCACTTGAGCTTTCATGTTATATAGGCCTAATTTTCTCCCCGATGTTGCATATGTGCATTAACAATTTTTTCGTGTTTCAATCTCAGAATTTATTCATCTTTGATTCATTTTGGTCCGCACTGTCTAAGAATGCTAGCTTTTATTGTTGTTATTATTGTGGTGTTAATATTAATATTTTTGTGTGCGTGGGGGTTGTACAGCTGTGCTACGGATCTTATTGTGTGTTCTTTCGAAGTTTGCTTTTTTTTTTTTCTTGAGTTTTGGTTTGAATTGTGGTTTCAATATGATGTTTTGTGAGAGAAATAGTGTATTATTATAGGGAATCACGATAAAAAAAAAAACTGAAACTGAACTCCAAAGGAACACACCCTTATATTCTGCATTTTCAGGTGTGATTTATTGCTCAAATGACTTGGCCACACTAGAAAGCAATGGATTTTTCTCAACTTTCTCACAGTTGATCTCGAGCCTAAATTTGTATTCCTTTCTCCGGTTTCCAAAAGCCATTGACTTAGTAATTTGTTTTTAACTTGCAGTGAAGGACTTGGTGAGGGTTATGATGAAGATGTAGCTTTTGCTAGTGCGCTTGAAACTTTTGGAGGAGGGCACAATGATCCTATCAGTGTTGCCTTTGGAGGTATAACTGAGTTGTGAATTTTTCTGTTTTGGCCATGCAAACTAATAGATGATGTGGATAAATTTCTGTCTGTACAGTAATGGAACTTTTCCTTAAATAAATGGAAATGTTTGTGCAAGGTTATCTTACTGTCCTTATTTAGGTATGCAATAGTTCAAACACATTAGTTTATCTTGCAACTTTGTCTTTACGGTCCGTATGTGCACTGTGGAGTTGGTGGTCTATTTGCCAACTTGCACATGACGCCCTACTCAAATTTTACATAGAGGAGGATTGTTTGGATTTTAGAAGCGGGGAGAAAAACACTAATGTTTGGCATGGGAAAATGGACTTCGAGCTGGGGGATGTAATATCCAATATCATACTTTGATTGAACTTTCAAAAGTTAGGGTGGCCCTCTTTCTCAATTATTAGTAAACTATGGAAACTCCATCGCAGCTCTTGACATTGGTAGATCTCGGTTATTTATTTTCTTGTTGTAGATGATGATTATCAACTGAGGGTGTGTTTGTTTGAGGAATTGGATTTTTTTTCCACTATTCATCCAATTTTTTTTTCCAAAAAATATCAAATCAAACACCTATTTTTCATTTTTTATATTATACTAAAAATCAATTTTACATTCAAAACATCACATCAACACCTATTTATATCACATCATACAACTATTCAAATTCAAAATTTTTACTATTTAAATCCCAACTCAAAATCCAAACCTCCAAACAAACACACCCTGAGTTTTCATTGTGTACAGTGTGCTTGGTTTTCCCCAATCTAAGCACCCAACTAATGCTCACACTAAATATCATATTGATTTTAGTTTTGTTTACTTGGGGTTTGGTTTTGTATTTTGGTTTGAATAGTGGTTGGGATATGATATTTTATGAGATGAAATAGTATATTTTTGTTAGGGAATCATGAGGTTTGCATAGTGAAAAAACTGAAACAAACTCCAAGTAGATAGAGCATTTAGTTATCCAAAATGTTAATGTGACCCACTATGCGATTATGATCCATGTTGCTTCATTGATTTTTGTTGGAGCTTGTCTTTCATCCACTGCAGCATTGGGAAAGGTTTGGTTGAATGCAATTTTACCAACACTCATTTGTAAGGGATGACTGATGAAAATGGTTTACATCAGTCATATTAAGTTCAATCTTTGTTCTAGAATCTCTATTTTGATATCCTTTGTTGAAATCAAGCATAGTAGCAAGTTTCCCTTGTTCAAATTTAGAGTCATCACAAATTCACAATGTGTTATTGTTTTATTTTCTTGTATTTACCAAATATATAGATTTGTGGTAGGATTTTGACTATATTTCTTAATTGACTGTTGTAATAATACCTTGTAAGCCTCCACTGAGAAAAACAAAACAAAACTTTATGAATACATTATTGGCCTTTTTTAGTTTGATAGCGAAAAAATAATCCTTTAACACGTTATGTTCTAGAGTTGCATCTCATTTCAGCTTTTATATTGGTCAGTGAGGTTCCAGTGATAGTTAGATACAATATTTTAATTCCTATGGTTTTAGATTTGCTTTTTTTGGTACTCTGATTATTGTTGACACCATTATTTCAAAACGTTATGCCTGCAGGTCCTGTTATGACCAAATTCACTATTGCGCTAAGGGAAATAGGGACATACAAAGAAGTTCTTCGATCTCAGGTAACTTGTCAAGTTTCTTTCTCTCTTGTAATACATTTATTTCATTGCCATAGCTTCATGGATTTACTTTTTATTTTTATTTTTTATTTTTAAGAAAAGGAAGAAAAGAAAAGAATCTAGAGTCTTGAGAGATGAATATTTAAAAGAATGATGTTTCTAATGTATGTATGTTTTTTCGAAGGTTGATTATGTTAAATGTTTGTTATACCTTTTCATTGTAGTTCTATAGCTTCATAGTATCATGGTCTAATCAATACAATATGTTAAGATGAGGATTTCTTTTGATAAAACTTTGCCTTCGGTTTGTTTAGATGTGTTTGAGAGTGTTTTGGTCTTTTCGAATAATTTTAAAAAGTTGAATTGAATAAGTTATTTTTATTTACCTTCGGTTTGTTTAGATGTGTTTGGGAGTGTTTTGGTCTTTTCGAATAATTTTAAAAAGTTGAATTGAATAAGTTATTTTTATTTATTTATTTATTTTATTATGTAATATAAACAACGGTTTGATTTGATAATTATATTAGTTTGATGTGATCTTTGAATGTAAAATAGTTTTGGGTGTGTAATATTATAGCTAAAACACGATGTTTGCTGCGATGTTTTGGGGGATGATAAATTAATGAAGGGCGAAAATGAGGTTGAAAACATTACCAAACAACCTCTTTCATATTTATAAATGATGCTTTGATCGTCAAATTAATTTGTAATTATTTAGGCTTCGCTTAATTTGATATTTTTTTTTTCCCGAGTTTCTTTACCATGTGACATCAAGAGTCCCTTTAAAATATATAAATTTTCATGCAAAACATCACCTTCAATGGCAATTTCATCCAAAAACTAAAACACAAACACACAAAGGTATATTCTTTTTTTGTTTGTTGTTTGTTGTTTGTGTTTTGAGTTTTTGTAATTTAGAGGTGAAATAGTGGTTGAATGTGATGTCTTGTATGGAAAATGAGTGTTGAATTTGACGGAAAAAATAGAATAATTTTGAAGTGAACAAACCCAAATTAAAGAAACCCTTAAGTGATTCCAAGGAAAACTATGAAATTGGTCAAGAGTGTTTTGGGTTAGTTCTTTTTTCTTTTTTTCTTATTATTTTTATTTTGTATGTCTTTACTACTCAATTAATTGTTTTCCTTAAAAAAACATGACATCTAACACCATCTTTTTCACACATAACATTACATATTGTGTAACATCAACCACGCAAAACCCTTATGTATTAATGTTTGAGGGTGAGGGTGTATTGTTATGGTTTGGGTGTGGATCTTTGTGTATTTTAAGAGTTTCACCGGTCTAAACTCCAATTTGCAACCAAGCAAAACCTTTTTGTTTTCAGTACGGTTGATCTCTTTATAGCTGTACCTCCCGGCTCTGTTATGTGGATTAACTTCAGACATATCCTCGTAGATTTTCATATCTTCCAAACAACAATGCATCTATTGCTAGAAAGATAGCAAACACATGGGTAACTAATGTATGAGTGTTGTATCTATACGATTGTATTAGACCGGCAGTATATTTGTGTTTTCAGGTTGAGCACAACTTGAATGACCGGTTGTTGCAGTTTGTGAATTTTGATCTGCAGGATGTTAAGGTATCTTATACTAAATACTGCCAATTTAATTTGCACGAACATGCAAAATTCATTGACAAGTGATGTGATAGGTTTACCATTATGTGGTAACCAGTGCTATTTTCGTGTATGCATCTTTCATTTCATTTTTATTTCTGTTTTCGGTTTCTGGTCATTTAGATCTCATGCTAGTTTAATGGGTGTATATGCAGGAGGCGCGTAAACACTTTGACAAGACTAGTCTGCTTTATGACCAGGTGATATTTTCGTATTTTGATCACAGCTGCAAATAGTTTTTTAGCATCAGTGTAATTTTAGTCTGTCCCCTTATCACTTCAACATTCATTTTAGTTCAGCTCTGTCGATCTTACTGTGGATTGTTTTGAAGGCTGGTGTATGTTATTTGAAATGTACCACATTGGGGATGATTATAATTAATTCTGATGTTCTTAACTACTACCATATATGTCCTTGAGATGCAGAACAAATGATAATACAATTTTTACTGTATGTAGAAATTTGATTTGTTTCTTGATTGTTGGTATTTGGTTAAAACTAGTGGTGTTTTAAAACTATTGTGTCAGAAATCTGGATAGTTGTATTATTGTGTTTTAATGACTTTAAAATCGAAGGAATAAATAAATTAGTTGCTATTGAAATATATCTTTAGCATGCCTAGCATGACCAAATGGTTTTTAGTTTATGAATAATCAGTTTGATATAGAATGTTGTTGCAGGCTCGTGAAAAGTTCTTGTCATTGAGGAAAGGCACAAAACGTAATTTAGCAAACACCCTTGAGGAGGTAAGAAGTGAAACTATAAACTTCAACCTCCGTTGGTCTTGTTTCTGCGTCATATTCATATGATCTGTGGTGTATCCAGGAGCTTCACCATGCTCGGTTGACATTTGAACAAGCACGATTTAATCTGGTGGGTTCCATTTCTTAACCATTGTGTCTTGACTTTTACCTAAAGAATATAATGAGTATCTGGATGTGCATTGACGCATAGTTTGAATCTTAATCTTTTAGGTGACTGCTCTCTCCCACGTTGAAGCAAAGAAAAGGTTTGAATTTTTGGAAGCAGTTTGTGAAACAATGGCTGCCCACTTACGCTATTTCAAGCAGGTGAAGCTGAATGTTGCTTTTTTCTGTCCAATTTCCTGTTTTCTCAACATTTTAATTCATTGGTTTCATGTAGGGCTTCGAGCTGTTACATCAAATGGAACCGTATATCAATCAGGTTTGTCCTGCCTTTTATTTTGAAATTTCCGAAGACTTACCTTAACAAAATACGAGGGAAAACAGCGTCTCTAGATAACATTTTTTGGAGACAATGTATACTTTTCAATGTCCAAATTATTGAAAAAGGTTTACACTGTGCAGGTCTCGACTTATGCAAAGCAATCAAAAGAGAGATCTAACTATGAGCTAGCAGCTCTCAGTGAGAGGATGCAAGAATATAAAAGACAGATCAATCGGGAGATCCGGTGGTCATCGAATGGTTCCAACGGATCCCCTAATCGAGATGGAATGCAAGCCATTGGAAGAAGTTCACACAAAATGATACAAGCTGTCATGCAATCTGCTGCAAATGGAAAGGTAAGTGAATGTTGATATTTATAATTATCGTATGTGCTTTTTTATTGCTTCATCTTCTTTCCCATCTCCTGTTTCTTCTTCTTCTTCTGTCAATTTTTTGTATGCCTACCTGTATCCTGCTATATCTTTAAGGTTCAAACCATTAAACAAGGTTATCTTTCAAAACGCTCGTCAAACCTGAGAGGCGACTGGAAAAGACGATTCTTTGTTCTTGACAGCAGGGGAATGTTGTACTATTATCGTAAACGAAATACCAAGCCCTCTGTGAGTGGTTGTTTGAGCTATATATATATACATATATTATAAGAGATGAGAAACCATTAATCAGCAATCATGTTTACTTAACCAAACAAAGTTTCATTGCACTACAGGGATCCGGCACGCAGCATTATAGTCAAAGGAATAGTTCTGAATTGGGTTCTGGATTGCTTAGTCGCTGGTTATCTTCTCATAATCATACTGGGGTACATGATGAGGAGTCTGTTCCTCACCACACTGTGAACCTTTTAACTTCTACGATTAAAGTTGACGCCGACCAGTCAGAATTAAGGTTCTGCTTTCGAATCATATCCCCATCAAAGATCTATACACTACAGGTTTGTTATTTGTGACAGTTTGCTTCAAATTAGTAGGAGATTATGCTTCATTTCTATTCATATATGCTTGAAAGCTCCGTTCTGAAGGTTGATGTTTTACGTTGGTAAAATTAATTCCCTTTTTACATGTCAGTTCAGGCTGAAAGTGCCCTGGATCAAATGGATTGGGTTGAGAAAATCACCGGAGTGATTGCATCGTTGTTAAGTTCTCAGGCTCCTGATTGGGTAAATGTTTTTTCTTTTCTCTTAGTTTTTACCTCGAACACTTATTGTAATTCTCTTTTTTTTTCTGATAATTGATTTTAATTTTTTGTTTGTTGATTAAGTGTTTATCAAACAGTCCAATGGGCAGCGGCCACCATCGGTCCAACAGTGAGAGTAGTTCATTTGGAAGTGCTGAATTTGATCCTGGAGCCATTGAGGACTACACATCAGAGAGGTTTAATTCTCTGCATATAGACCGTAACATGCGAAGCTCACAGCAACTGAGAACCGGGATTAAAAATGAGAATCCAATTGATGTATTACGGCAAGTCTCTGGTAATGATAAATGTGCTGATTGTGGTTCCCCCGAACCAGATTGGGCATCATTGAATCTGGGAGTTCTTGTTTGCATCGAATGTTCTGGTGTACATCGTAATCTCGGAGTGCACATATCCAAGGTACTTACAACACATATCATTGACCCGTAATTCTTCTTATGATACGCCATTAATTCGACTTTGGGGCTTAGAAACCTAGTAAACAGTCGATCTTAGAAAATAATAGCGAACAAGTCTTGTCTTGGTTTCACTATATGATATTGCTACTTCACGTAGGTACGATCACTAACACTCGACGTCAAAGTGTGGGAGCCATCTGTCATAAACCTATTCCAGTCTCTAGGAAACTCTTTTGCAAATTCAATCTGGGAGGAATTACTGCAGTCGAAGGGCGTGTTCCAAATGGAACTTAGTCCTAAAGGGTAAACGTCTCTCATTGTCTTACATCCAATAAATTAGATCTCGTGTAATTTTAAACATATCCATATTTGTTTCATTCTTGTGATTCTTGTGTAGGACTAATAGTCATCAAATGCAATACTTAAGCAAGCCGAGTCCTACCGATTCAATTTCTACCAAGGAGAAATTCATTCACGCCAAGGTAAACATGGCTTTTGTACGTAATTGAGTTTGTCGTTATTAATACAAATTTTTGTGCACGTTCAACTTTTTCAGTATGCGGATAAACTTTTTGTTCGTAAGCCGAAGGAAACTTCGTCAGTGGCGCAACAAATGTGGGATGCTGTTCACGCGTGCGATAAGAAAGGCGTTTACAGCCTCATCGTTAACTCGGAAGCGGATGTGAATACGGTTTACGAATTCGGAGCTAGTTATTACTCTTCTCTCAGCCTTGCAATAGTAATGATGTTGCCCGATCAAACTGCCCCCTTCCCCCACTCTGGTCACTCAGGATCTGAGGCGTTACACGAAACATTTTCAGGCTCGTCCGATAAGCAGAGTATGAGCGAATCGAATAGTGGCGTCGAGGATCTTTATCGCTGCTCCCTGCTCCACCTTGCTTGCGAAACTGCCGACATTGGAATGATCGAGCTTCTTTTGCAATACGGGCCCAACATTAATGCTACTGATTCGTGGCTGCAAACACCTCTCCATCGGTGTTCGATGAAGGGTAAATCTGCTTCTGCAAAGCTTCTCCTGATGAGGTAAACTATTCTACGACGCTCATTTGATAAGGAAATTAAATCGGCGTTCCTCGGGTCTAAATTATTTTCTTATTCTTTTTTGTTCGATGACTTTGCAGGGGAGCTGATCCGCGGGTTACAGACAACCAAGGTAAAACTCCATTTCAGCTTGCTGTGGAATCGAACGTAAACGACAGTGAGGTTCTTGCGCTGCTCTCGGGCAGGTCTCATGAATGACGAACATATAACACCTCGGCCACTTTGCTATTGTAAGTAGTTTTACCATTGGGGCTAACTTACTCTTCCCTCGCCTCTCCGAAAAGTACAACAACTCTTCTCTTCGAATATTTAAGTGTCTCGAAGCACAAATTAAATGTCGCGGGATCGGCTCGGGTCGGCTCGTATGTGAATTGGTAAGGTTTCATGGTTATGGAAACTCTTGGTTTATTTTTAGTGTTGATTGAGTTATTCTTTTTTCACTTGTATTGGTGATTGAGGTGGTTTTGGCTGTGTGCTCTACGTGTGTGTGTGTACATATATATATATATATATATATGCATGCATATGTATGTTGTCTGTATATGTTTGTCGAGTTGGGACTAGAACACAGTTTTGGTTTCTCACATTTGTTGTCTCTGATTTGGCATTCGGACTACTTTGTGTTGGAAGCTTTAAAAGAGGGGTTCTATTTTTTTGAGTTGGTAACTTTGTCCTTTCGAGATTTTAGTTTTTAATACTCCCTCCTCGTATCTATTTAATGCTTTTTAGATACTTTTAAAAATATTAATATTATATTAAAATTTAGTAGAAATAAAGATAAAAAAAATTAAATTAATTTTATTGTATGAATGATATTTGTAATGTTAGGTAGATAATATAATTATTAAAAAAAAAAAAAGAAATTTATACTTTGTTATAGATATAATAAAATAGAAAAATTGATTGTTTGTTAAAACAATACTAATATATACATATATAGGTTCAATTATTTATTTATTATTAAAATATTAAAATTTACAAAACAAAAGAATGCAAATATATTACTTACTTTAGTTCGGCTCTAAAGATTATCGATTATTTTTTGTGTTGATATTTGAATATTAAATATTATATAAAAACGTATTATAAATTAAAGAAAAATGAAAGAAATATTTCTATTAATGTCTTATAATATTATTATAATGATATTTGTGAAAAAAAAATTATACAAAAATAACGATATTTTTAATGTTAAATACAATAACGCAAAATATAAATGAGACCATTAGAGTCGATTGGAGGGAGTATCACATAAATATTGTAAATGACAATTTTACAACTTATGACTCTAAAATCACATTTAGAGATATATATCATTTATTTTATTATTTTATTTACAAACGGGAGGTAACCAACATAATTTGTACCGATTTTACAGTCGGATTTGCCATGTCAGCAAAATTCCTAGCATCCTGCCAAATCAGAAAACTCTCAGGCTATCCACATCAAAGAAACTCTCCAAAAGTTTTTAAAAATTTTCACCTCATAGTTATTTTCTTTTATTTTACAATCTCTTTCTTCTATCTCATTATATATTTTTTAATTTATATCAAAATAATTAATAATATTATTAAATTTAAAAAAAATTATATTAATATATATTATTTTGTAGAGAATAAAATTTTATATAATACAAAAATATAAAAAAATAAATTTTGGTTTCTTTTAAAGATGTGGCATTAACGTGGAGGGTTCCGCTGGGGAAAGAACCCCTCGATGTAGATGACCTCACACCATCAAGCAATTTTTGCTAACATGGTATTTTTTAAAAATTATTATGAACATTTAATTAATATAGTTATAATTATAATATCATACATATTAAATATTTATAAATATAAAAATTATATATGTAATAAAATTTAATATTGTATTATCTTGTATTAGTATTTTTATGTATCAATTGTTATAAGATAGAAAAAAAATAGAAAAAGTATCAATTAAGATGAGACGGAATGAGTATTATATTTGTTAGACAATGTGCAAATATATAAAATTTAAACTACATTTGAAATTTAAGGTTCATATATAATAAAATATATTTCATCCGTCAAATTTAAAGTATTATTTTTACTGTTTTCGTCCATTTTATTTAAAATTATCAATTTTTTATTTTAGTATAAGTACTGATATAATGATACCAAAACACATTTAATTTTTATCTAAATTACAAACATACCATTACACATAAATTAATTTATACATAAAATCAAAAAAATAAAAATATTAAAATATTTTACAAAAAATTTCTCTAACTAATAAAATACTAAAATATTACTTTTAATTTATCATAAAATTCCAAAAAATCCATTTGGAGTGGAAATTGAAAAGAAATATCTCAATATAAAATAATAGTAGTAATATATTTTTTTTATACTTATTAATTTATAAGTATTTATTAAATTGAAAATATATAAATACTTAAATATATGGATTATTGACTGACAAATAACATAGTACGTACTATATACATCACGTGTTGTGTTGGAAAATGAACAAAGGAGTTTGGGCCGGGCCGGGCCGGGCCTGATTGACTGAAGCGTGGGACAGGGCTAATGATCCCAGGTTCACGGGTAGATATTTATAGAAATATATATATATATATACATTTTTAAAACTATATATATTTTTGTTTCATTATAAATCATATTCCCTCCGTCCCATATAATTTGTCCATATTTTCTATTTTCGTCTGTTCCACATAACTTGTCATTTCTATTTTTGAAAATATAATTATGCAATTTAATCGCATTTTAAATTTTAAATTTTATAATTTTCTTAATTTTAATTAAACTATTAATCTTAATCTATAATTATTTTTACTAAATAATAATTATTTTTACTAATACACTTCTTAATTACTTATTAATTATACTTTACCTAAATTTTCGTGTCTACAGTAACAGACCCATATTATATGGGACGGAGGGAGTAATAATTATTTTTATTTTAATTGAAAAATTTTAATTAATTTTGATCAAATTCAAAATAAAACTAAATAATTTTAATTCAATAATAATCAACAAAAACTTAAAACAACCGTATTGATTTAAATGTAGCCATGTTCATATCAGTGTTTAAATTCATATTTTGAATACAATCATATTCATACTTAATTCACAGTCAATTTTGAATATAGCTATATATTAAGTCATGTTCATTTATTTTTTTTTCAAAATGTTTGATAGTATATATAATATATTTATAATTTAATTAAAAAATATATATATTTTTATAATTATTTGAAAACATAAAAAATAATCAAAATTTAATTTAAACATAATAGCAAAATAACAACAACAACCAAAAAATTAATAAATTAATATGCAGTATATTTTAATAATCACAATTATATATATATATTTTAAAATTTATTGAACTTTTTTTTAAAAAATAATTTAAATTTATAATTTTAAAAATAAAAATATATAAATAATATTAATTTATTATAATTCATACTTACACTTTTAAAATTTATAAAGTAAAAAAAAATATAAATATTATTTTTAAAAAATCATAATAACATTTTACTTATAAAATTTATAATAATCCATTAAAATACAAACTACTCATATTGTTTGGCTATATATATTTAAAATTATAAATCTATATCATCCCTCTCACAACAAGAGTACTATGACTTTTTGAATGTAAATTTTTTAATCTAAAATATTATATCAATACGTAGTATAAATAAATAAATAAAAATAAATATACCTCTATTAGTCTCTTATAATATAAATAAAATAATATTTATAAAATAGAATATACAAATATAAATATCATTTTAATGTTATGTACAATGATGTAAATGTTAAATAATAATATACAATATGTTTTTAAAACAACATCAATAATTTATATATTTAATAAATTATTATAATTTTTTTTAGTTAAAATTCAACATTTTTCAAATAATATTTATATTTTTTATTCTTAAAATTGTAAATTAAAATTATTTTTAAAATTTTAATATATATTTATGATTATTAAAAAAATATACATTTCAATTTATTATTGTTATTGCTATTGTTATTTTGCTATTATTTTTAAAATATTGAATCTTAATTATTATTATTATTTTTTTAATTTTACATAATTGTAAAAATATATTTTATTTAAATTTATAAATATATAGATCAAACAATTTGAATATGATCATATTTAGAATATGACCGTAAACACAGTTGTGTTCAAATATATGACCTTAAACACAAACATGGACAAAGACATGAATACGACCGTGCTAAATTCAACATGATCATGTCGACTGTTTGTGGAGTTTAATTAGTTTTACGAGTTATCCAACCCCGTTGTATTTAATCCGTTTCAACGGACTTAAATTGATTACCCGGAATGTTCAATAGAATCAAAATTGATAATTGCAATTTGCAATTGAAGCAAAAATGATTTTTTTTTTTTTCCCTTTCTTTTTAGTAATAATCAAATTATCATACTAAAGTAAAAACTTACCGCGTTCCACACTTTTTGAATGTTATTGTTGAAATATTTTAAATATTCAATTTTAGATTTAGTAGATTTACACGTAGATTTGATCTTATCTATAAATTATATTACTCAAATTTGAGTCTATCAAATTTGTTTTGCATTGCCTATATATGTAGACTCCTTATTTTGATGATTAATAACATAATTTTATTATTTTTTCCCAAAATTTCTAACAGTTATTTTCGTTCAAAGCATACTGGAACTTACCGGAATGTGCATCATTTTGTCCATCTTGTTCCACACTCCAAGTTTCCGACTATACTTTTTTTTTTCGGACAATTGGTCTGACCTCCCTACAGGTAATGTTCAATTATAATTCAGTCCCTATTTTAAAACAATTGGTCTGCACTCCCTACTTTACATATTTAGTTTAATATTAATCCCTGTTTTAGATTTTCTCAAATAAAAATTGAATGTACCTCTAGAATATCTTTAAATGCTTCCAAATTTATTTTATATACTTACAACACATTCTATTTAAATTTGTCCACGTAGCTCCGAATCTTCGGTTTATCAGTTTTCGAACCTCTTGTTACGGTTTATATATTTGTCAAAGTGCAAACTGCTGGTTCAAACCGCCGGTTTACGGTTTCAACCGACGGTTCGGCCATTATTTTTTTCTTTTTAATTTTAAACCTGCACGCCGGCTGCGATTGTGGATTATAGAATGTTATGGACGGGCGGCGACAGTGAAGAAGAAGCAGGAGGAAAGAAGAAAAAAAAATGAAAAAGAAGAAAATACAAAAAAAAAAAAAAAACGAAAAACGAACCCTTGCAACTGTAGCTGCGGTGGAATGTGGAGAGTGGATGTTCTAAGCTAAAATTGTATATTATATACTTGTAATTGAAATTACTATATATCATTAAAATGTTATAAAAATAAAGATAATATTAATATTAATAAAAATAAATAATTATTAATTATATAATAATAATATACATTATTTTGGTTATTTATATTTTAGATTTTGTATTTCTTATCATACAATTATATTTAATTGAAACTATCTTATTATCTAATACACATCAATTTCTTAAAATTTAATTTTGTTTATTTTAATTTAAAATTTAATTTTGTTTATTTTAATTTAAACTTTAATTTTGTTTATTTTAATTTAAAATTTAATTTGATTTAATTACTTAGTAAATTTATTATT